CTGTGACTCCTGACAAACTCTAAAAGAACATATTGTACTTAACACAGAACGGCAATTGTTGTATTTAACGACGTCGGAGAATTTTCATTCCACCTCCTGTCGCACCCTTTCCCGCCCTGTTCACCATTCTATCGACCCGAATCATGTTTGCTAGTTTGGTACATATTTCAACAGTTTTATTGCCACTGTTATCTTGCCTTAAAGCACAAAAATAATAGGTGTTACTACCAACATTATAAATTTTATTCCCGTCCTTTCAATAACTTTGTAACACACTCAGAAAGATCAGCTACTTGGTTTGAAACTGGTGTGTTTACTGTCTTATGTGTTAACTATTTAAAAACTTGGTACCCTATTCAGGCGCTGTTCACTTAATCCGAACGATACTTACAGACACGGTAAAGGGGACGAAGATGCAACCCCTTTGATAGGAGGGTAAAAGTACCCTTGTCATTTGTTTTCGCAATTATCAAGAACATATATATGAGTTTCCGACTGTAGCAACTTTTACAAAAACTTGCGTGATTATTTCGTATCTGCTAGAAGTGAACCGTTCATACGCTTATCGGAATGGAAATATCATTTACATAGCAGAAGAAGCTGCAAATCACTGTTGCAAATTTTTTCCTTATCATGAAGCTAATAGCCATGCCCCTGGACCGTGCCGGTGTCTTCAACAACTCTAGACCTCAAAGATATTCATAAAGAAATACCTAAATAGATTTTCAATGTAAAGTGAGAAACATATTACTTTATCCTCGGTGAGTATTTATAATAAACAAATTTATAACAGTTTAGGTATTGTGATGTACATGGTAAACATTTGCCTTATCAAATTCATCCAGAAATCCTGTCGTTTTTTGACTCTCTCTTTCTCTTCTGTCGAAAACTAAGAGAAAGTTCTTATGTTGATGCACAAGGTAAGGTAAGAGCTGAGACATACTTGTAAAGCTTTTCACTGCATCGACCAGTTTCTTAATTCTCGAAAACTGAGAAAAGGGACCTTATTTCGACAAGTATTTTGACAAGAAGCTCAAGGGTAAAGGAAAGCGAAAGAATGAAAATTAATCAAAATTATAGGTCCGTGATTAACAGGGGAAGGGGGTCATACCCATCAGTCTACATTACCATTCTTTGTCTCCCCCACCTTCAAACATCACTTTGCCATGCCACATCATTCTAAAGTACCAGGCACCGCGGAGCGTTGAGAAAAGTGGGCTGGTCTAAAGAAAGTGGGGGGGGGGCCTAAAACTGTATAAAAAGAGGCTTTTCTGGTGGTTTGATACTTAATATTTGGCATTTTTATTATTTGGCATCTTAATATTTGGTTAAACCCCCCCCCAGCCCTCCCTGCTCCGCGGTGCCCGAGTACCTCAGTGAAGTGAGAAGTCATGCGATTAGGGTCGATGAGAACGGTCTTGCTTTTAGTACAATGTGTTTTGCATTTTACGGGCTACGTTATGAATTGAAGATATACGAAAACAGAACCAAGGTGCACATACTGTGTGTTTATCAAGTTTCAGTAAGCTTTTGCGTTTTCAGTATTGCGTTAACAAGTTAAATCGTCTGCCACGTGGCGAAGTAGGCCCACCACACCTTGAATTCCTGATGCCATTTAAACCTGCAAGTCAAGCTCCTGTCATCATGGGGATACAATCAGGAAGGTTATCAATGATGCTGTTGCAAACGCTCTCTGGAAAGACAACATAAATGACAAGCAGGAGAATTGATGTTGCAATGGAGCCTCTGTAGCTAGAATTATCGGCGCCGAGATGGAGTTGTTGGGCCGTCCCTGATTATGAAACTTGCATCGTGGAAGTACTTCTCTGCTGTATTTAAGGGTAAGAAAAAGTTGGTAATTCAGAAAATTATTTTGAATATGACTTCAAGAAAATCAAAGTTTTTCAACGGTCCGAGTGAAAGTGGAAGACAACCTCAACGTCGATTATTCGTTTAAATACGAGGAATGAGCATAAAAATATATGTAGTGGAGTCAAACTCTTTAACTGCGAAGAAGAACCATACTAATTTTGAAATGGGAACTCATTGTGTTTGGCTGCGCTAATGACTATTTTTTCCAGGTATTTTGCCGTTCTCGTGCCAGTTTTTGTGTTGTTTTGAGCTTGTCTTGAACTTGGTGAACAGGGTACTCTCTCTCTCTTTCGGCTGGACTCTCTAGAGAAGTTGTCAAGTAAATTCCCATGAAAATGTATTTCGAAGGTTCACGCCCGAGTTTGCACAAGTTCACGCCCGAATTTGCAAAAGTTGACGCCACAATTCTCATTGTGATCAAAATTGAGTACATATTTGTTTTCACGCAAAGGGGATAGGACTGCACACATACGTGCTGTTTTCCACTCTTTATCAGAAATATTGTCCTTCTAGAAAATCCACAAAGTTAAGAAAACATTGCTTGATATCAAACTCAAACCTTTTCGGCCGTCGTTGATATGAAGGGTTTGGGAGGGTGGGTTGTGCGTCGTGCGTCGTGAAATGGTCGAATTCGTTTTCTTTCGAGTGGATTGTCGACTGTTCCGTTTCATCGTGTTTCGTGATCTACAATCCCGGATAAAAATAGTTGAGACTTTTTAGGAAGACTTTATGTTCTTGAAAAATTACTTCCCCCCTCCCCCAATTCAATGTTGAATGCATGATTTGGTAGCAAAAATGATAGAACTACATACTAATCCAACATTGCTTCGGGGGAAAGGGAGGGATTCGAATTTAGAAGGGCAAAGTGGCGTTAATTCAGTTCAGTTCATTTCATTTTAAAAATACATACATACAAATCTTTTAAAATACAGCAACAGGTTACAAAAGATGAAATGAATTATATATAATGAGAGAAATAGAGAACAAACAAAAATATATATGATTTTATAAAAACGAAGGAGATTTGCATCCAGAAATTTCTTAAAGGAGGAGCTCTCTCAATAGATAGACTCAACATTTTTGTCCGGGATTGTAGTTTCAGTTTCAAGATATTCGCTTCACTTGCAGTAGAAAACACATACAGTGATCGTAATATTGGTCTCCTAGATCTTCAATAGTATTTCAGTGCACATTTTCCTACTTTTTTCTCTCTAATCAAAGCACAAGATTCAGTTTACACTTACGAATTCAAGTGTCAGCGGGCCCATGCTCGAATATATCATCCAATAAGTTTATCGGACCAAATTGGTCAAACTATATAAGACCTTGTACCCTTGGTACCCAGTATAAGTATCTATACCATCAAGATATGATAAGAGAACTCGGGCAGAGCTGGGCGTTGCTTTGGAAGGGATTCGTTCGAGGAGTTGGGAGAAGAGGAGACGTGGGGTCCCTGAATAATATCCAGGGTGCATTCCATGTTAGACCCACGCCAGAGAAATTTCAACCTATTGTAGTTGCTACGCCAAGAGCAAAACATACAAGCTTTCGATTAATCTATAGTTTGCATTGCTTTTACTGTCCATATCAACATAATCAGGCTGTCCACGTATTCTGTACAAGTACCGTTTTTGCTACGCCGATCGCGAAAATTTATCACGTACGCCAATGCGCCAAGGCTCGCAAATAGCAAATTTCACGCCATTACGTCGAGGAAAAAGCTAAGTCCACGCCGGAGATCTCCGGCGTAAACTACATGGAATGCACCCAGGAATAATATACGAGCGAAGAGGGTTGGGCTTTGTTATAGAAGAGAAGGGTCGAATGGGATGGCTAGCTTTCTTCAATAAGGTTGGTCTATGGAAACTTTTTATGATTTGATTTTGCAAAAGAAAGTACCAACTTTACAAAGCTTCTTAATCTTTCTTTATGTTCACATTTCTTGCAACAGTTTGCTCAATTTCTTGTGCTTTAAAGTCTATTCGATAACTTTGCAAGAGCCATCAAACGTCTGTCAAATTCAAGCCAAAACAATGTAGTATTATTATAATAACAAGTTCATAAATATTGCCTGGAATCTTCCTTGATTCATCATTCAATCGACGTTGGAAATAAATGTTGTTGATGTTGACATTAAACTTCACTGTATATTGCAACACTATACTTGACATGCATTTTGCATTAATTCGCAGTAAATTACACACTCAAGAAGTTTCCGTTTACAATTTGTTTTGACTTCAACTTGACATTGTTGAAGTTCGATGAGCTTTTCGATGAGCTTGACTGTTTACAGATCTCAACAGAGTTTGTCATTCTAGGAAAACAAAATTCCTTGATCACTTTGTTAGTTTATCTCTGAATGTGAGTGAAATATTTACTCTACCTTAGGAGCACGTTTAAAAAATTCATTACCTAAAAAATTTAAGAAACATGTGAGAAACTATTGATAGCAAAATGGCTGGAAAATTTAAGAAAGTGCCTACCAGCACCGGACCTTAGTTTCTTTTAAGAAAAATACATGTAATGAAATTTAGATGCATTCTTACAATCAATGTTTACTTTACTGCAGCACTCCAATTGTAAATATAACCAAATGCGAAATAAGGAAACTTTTTAGACCCCTAAAGGTTGATTTCCCGGTAAGGAATACCATTCCAGTCCGCCCCTGATGGACCAAGACCAGGGGTCTGTGAAGGAGTCGAACAAACTTATGTACCAGCGGAAAATTTTGACAGGTCACGCTTTTCAAAGTGGTGGAAAATGCCGATTGTTGCAAATGAATTTATTTTGTGCTTATCAAGTATCATAATACAATTTTGTCTAGTTCAAAGATCTAGGCCACGCCCTTTGTTCTGTCAGAAAAACCCTTTACCAACAGGGAATGCTAATTCTACAAAAGCAAACACCCATGACCAACATTTGGTTACATAAAAGCAGTTTCAAAATCACTGAGCCAGGTCATTAAAAATACTTATCCAAAATATCAACCCTTCCCCAACACTTTCTCGTCGAATTTAGACGATATACAAAATCGTTCCTTCAGAGAAGTGAATCAAATAGTGGTTTTGTAATTGCCAATTGTACGAGACTTAAATGTATTATAAATACTCTATGAATACTGTAACTATGAATAATATAAATACTGTGTTAAGAACAATGTTTATTACAACTTAAATTATTAATACTCTATATTAAAAATATGAGCTAGCCGTGGCAAAAATAACAGTCAACACCTAGATATTTATAGGACATTAAAATGCGGAACCCATATGAATCTTGATTTATTTATTAAAGTAAATGTGTGACCTTCCTTAGAGAAGCGAATGTCTTATTCATTTTCTCAATTTAGCACGTTAGAATTAAGGCGTGGCCGCAAAATGTTCCCAAGAACCACATATTTTACCTTTGATTCGGCACTCCAACATGTGCTATAAAAGCCACTGACCTAGTGGCGTAGCGGACTAAGGACCCCCAACTTTCAAGCCCACGGGGTAGCGAAAACTTAGGGCCCCCAGCATTTAGGGGCTCCCAACCTTTAGGAGCACGAAGCAAAAATTCTTTCTACGGCTTTTACCGTGAAGCTGGTATTCTGGGTGTCATGACACTGAATGGAAAGTCTCTAGATTAGCCTCTTCTGTTTTGTCTATACACTGGTAGTACATTGTTGGAAAGGAAACATCTTCATCTGTGAGTCTTCCATTCCTGATGAGATCATGAACGCAATATAACTCACCTTCTGTGATACCAGTCTGAATGTCAGCAAGGAAAGTCTCCTTTAATCCATCAACAAAGGCTTCTTTAAGAGCTTTTTAAACCTTTAAGAGCAGTATCTTTTTCAATAGTTATGTCTATGATGGTGACGTAGCCATCTTCAAAGCAATTCTAAAACCCTCAATAGATGTAAAAGACAAAAGCAGGATCGCAAAAATATCCGCTTGCTTCGCTTGCAGGGAGCTTCTCTTTCATTTTTGCCCCAGGGCCTTATACACGCATAACGAGCAGCGATACTTCATTTGGATCGGGTCAGGAAAATGTACCCTAACAGCAGAATTATTTCATTATGAATTTTGCTTTTAAGGGATTCCCTTTTCGATTAGAAACAGTATTACGGCCAATGAGCACATTTTGCTTTACATGTCTTCCTGAACTAGCATGTCGATCAACTTTCCAGATGAATCTTTCCAAAGCTTACATTCTTTCCGTTTTATTTGTAAATTGGATAGGAAAGTATTACTAATTAATGCAACCATTTTTATAAGAAAACTATAATTTTTTTCTAACCTTGACATTCTTAATAAATTTCTGCTTCGAGCACTAGTACATTCTTAAAATATTGTTATCAAAGGAGATAGCCGTCCTCGAATAGAAATTGCGCTTTTTGAAAAATGAAATATCTTGTCATTACAATAGCAAGACAGGCAACTGCTGGAAAATGAGGCACAAATATGTAAACTGAGGCACATTGCATAAATGCATGCTATCCCATTGTTATTTTGTCGTTGGCAGATTGATACATTCTTTGTTGGCAGTTTAGTTGAATGTGAACGCCCGGTACCTTGAATGTTTGCCTCTAGTGCCTCCCCGATAAGCTGCCAAGTCATTTCTAAATCTATCATTGGCCTTCAGCAATTTCCACTGTTCGTGGACTTGTGCTTTCACGCACAGAAGTCTCTATCCCCTCTACCAAACAGACCTGTACAACGTTCGCTTCTCATTGCCTGCTGCAGTCCGAACAGGCCTATTTTTTGTTGACTCGTCCATTAAATAACGTTAGAAACGCATAAAAGATCAGCCATTATAGCATAAGCGAGGCTAAAATGTGGTTCTGTAACTGTAAGCTTCTATCGCACTGCTTTAACTATAGACAATGCTGTGACAAGATTTTGACTGGAAGATTGCAGCTGCTTCACGACTGTTTATTGGCTTTAGAATGTCCACCAACAGGCAATTTACCATTGTCCTCATCCTCTTGCCAAAGCTACTGTATTCGCCTTTAAGGCTCAATGGTCTTGACTTTCGGTTAATTTTCAGCGTTTGTTTTTGCACTATTCTATATTTCTGTAGGCTCACTCAATAAATGCGTTTTTTTCATTATAACAGAACATAATATTCCTACTTCGACAACTCCTGATCAAAGCAGTGCGTGTCTATATACTGCAATACTGCCCCCAAAATTGTTATTGACATTATTTGTGATTATGAAATACCCTAGCCAACGTGTTCCAGGCCAAAGTAACGCCTTGTTTTTTAGGAGCGAGCAGGTATTTTCAGCGCAAAGCACTATCTTAAGTCCTACATGGGTCATAAGAAACCCTAATAGCCAATTTTCTTAGCTTGACCCAAATTGTTACAACATCAGTAGCGTAGTGTCCGGGTATTCAAGGTATCCAGTGACTACCCTGAGATTTTTAGAGAAATTATATAAATGAAATGAAATTTTAGAAATCTTAAAGCGCTTTGGTGATAATTGTTTATGACTAATTTTGTTGCCTTTCAATATGTTGTTTTTGATACAGATTCAAAATAGCACGAAATTCACGGAAATGAAGACATAGTTAATGTGACGAAGTGTTTGGAAGCTTGGAAATTTGAGAGGGTAATATCGAAGATTAAACTACTCAATGTTGAATGGAGATCAGTCACGAACTCGCAGAGAATACCTTAGACCAGGGGTTTTTTCAGTTTTTTGAGTGCCTGGCCAGAAAAACAGATTTTACGTAGATTTTTTTCGTAGGCCAATGAATTTTCATTTCATTGTTACCATGCTTTATTAGAGATAAGATAGACCGGTCAACTATTTCTTTATTCATAAAATCTTTCCAGTGTGCTTATTCACACGAAATAAGTCTTGGAAAGGTGGATGACAGAAGGGAACAAGGGAGGCGGTACTAACTTTGAAGGACATGGTGCTGGCTAGATGCTGGTGGGATTGGCTCAATGTGCATTACACGTCGGATTTACACGCCGAAGGCCAGGGATAACTGTTTGGTGGAGATTGGGGCCAAAAGCCTCCAAATGTAGCATAGTAAATAAACGCAAAAAATGTTCTATAAATTGTTTGTTCTTTGAAATTTTTCCCCCTTCTATACCAGCCGTTCTGGTCCTATGAACCCTACCGACGATCCTGCGACGCTGCGCAATCCTTGGGGAAGTTGTTGTAGCCTCGGTTCCAGCTTTTCAGCCAACGAACACGGCGGGAATGAACACCATGTTGGATTGCACGACTCGGCCATGGACGAAGGTTAAGATTGCAGTTTCATTTCCTTGTTCTTATCAACCAATCTTGGACACATCTATTTACAATCAGCTTAAACGCAAGCTGCTATAAAGTACGAAGAATGCTGTTCTGGGAGGAATTCAAAAGAGGGCGGTTGCAACACGAACTGGCATCATCATGAAGAAAATCTCAGCAACTTCGTTGCGGTATGTTGCCAACTTCTTTTCTCACCTCATTATCTTTGGCAAATTTGCATTTGTGCAAATTATGGTATTTTTAATGCCAGTGGTTGATTATTAAAAGGGAACCCCAAATGCAACCTGCAAACTGGCATTCGTGGTTAAGGTTGCCAGGCGGGCGAGGTTCAAACCAGCTCACTTAGCAGTGCAAAGCAGCATCACATTTCGACTCTTCCTAACAGTCCCATAATTACTGCATTGAGAGGGAAAATTGGAATAGCAATTTAGGAGGGCCGTTTCTTTACATTAAATGTGTGCTTATACTGCAGCATGCACTGGTCCTAAACTTGATGTTACTGGAAATGGTTGAAATAGAATGTCCAATGTAAGAAAATGAGCTACCACATGTTACAACCTACCTTGCAGCTTAAAAGTCAGCAGTTACATTAATGTTTTTAGTTACTAAGAAAGTTTCTTTAACCAATTTTGTATATTTTTAGCTGTAATAACTAAATTTTGTCATTGGCTAGCAGTTTGATTCTTGAAAGACAACATATTCACTGAGGTTACACTTTTACCCCTGCAAAAACCCAAGCATGGTTCACAGGCTAACCATAGTTTGCAATGGTCCTACCATGGTTGAACCATGATTCTGACAAGTTCTGACCATGGCTAATGACAATGGTTGATCAATGAAATAAGATTTTGCCTGCAAAGAACTTAACTTGTTTGTTCTTTGAGAATGTTGATTCTGGACTGTGTAAGAAGTTACCCTGAATAGAAAGAAAAGAAAAAAGAACAATTGTCTGTATTTGCTATCATTTTACCATGGATGACCAGGTCAAAACCTGATCATTGCTGTCCCATTGCTGAACCATGGTTCATTTCTCAACTGACTTTTCATAAAATGGCAAATAAATTTTACATTGAATAGTTTTGATTTCACCAATTTTCTTTTGTGGATACATTTCCTTGTCCCTTAAGTCCTAAAACATTAACTTGTTTATCAATTTGAAATGTTTTATGAGTATTTTGTCTGACAATTGCTGACGCATTGCTGTATCATGGTCAATTTCTCAACTGACATTTTCTAAAATGGCAAATTACTTTTACATTGAATAGTTTGTTTCACTATTTTTGTGTGGTTTGGTTTCACTATTTTTTTGTGGATTTATTTTACTGTTTTTTGGCCATAAAGCATTTATTTCTCTGAATTTGAAATGGTTAATGAAAATATGGACCAACTGTTGCTGACCCGCTGCTGAACCGTGGTCCATTTTTTAACTGACAGGTTCCTCATCCTGCTTTCTCCAAAACTGCTGGCTGCCTTTGAATATCATTAAATTTTATATTTTAATGGTTTTAGAAATATATTGAAAATATCTTTTCACATGATATATATATTTATAAAATCAAAGATATATACTTGAGATTTTCATCAGATATGCAAGAATATCAATCTCTGAGAAATATCTGATGAAAGCAACTGACAAGGTACCAGGGTCATAAGAGTGGATCTTGGGTTTTTTCTCAGATAAATTTTAATTTCTATAACATGGTACAAACAAGCATATCAATACAAGATTGTCAGCAAATTGGAATATTCTATTGAAGTGCTGCTGTACAATTGCTCTAACAGTTCTTTGTGGTATCTTATGGATGCATTACCATTGAAGCCAGGTTTTAAATATTTCAGAATAAAAAAGTCTTGCCAGTTTCATTCTTAGCCAACAAAACAAACTTATTATCTCAAATAAAAGCAAATCAGGCCTCTCGGTTTCTGGCATGTGATTGCGTGCCATGCACAACTAGCAATATTGTCCACCTCATCCATTTGCATTTACAATTACTATTTTATCTGCAACATTGTCTTGTTGCTCTGTGGAATCATTTTTAAAGTACAGCCTTCACCATCTAGGCAATCCCTTGACACTATATAAATAATAAACACTGGAAAAATGTTTGTGTTGGTTGTGTGTGATAAAGGATTCACTTTCAATCAGTGTTACCCCATGGGCCACACACCTACTAAAATCGTTGCGGAGAGGCCTGCGATCCTTGTTTTTCTTCCCAGTGTACCTATTAGAGACTACATGGTGTTCAGAACGTACATTAAGGCTTTTAGGCTGTTTCGAGTAAAAAAAATTTTTGAACAATTTCAAATTTTTTGAACTTTTTAGCAGGTCACTAAATCACTGAGTCCTTATTTTGTAAATATGTGCATAATATTCACTGAAACTACCCAAAATGGTGTTCCGAACATAAATTAAGGCTTTTGACATTATTTCTAGAAATATTTTTTTTACAAAGTTCACATATTTTGAGATTTTTTCAAGTTTCAGTGTGAAACATGCTATAAATACTCTTTCCTACCATTTTCAGATACCACTTGGAGGCTCAACCAAATGTCTAGAAATGATTTCAGAAAGGTAAAATTTTAAGCTTTATATTGTTTCACGTAAAAATTTTTTTTGAAAAAATTTCAAGATTTTTCAACTTTTTTGCAGGTCCGGGGTCATGAATTTTTTCAAAAACCACCAACTCCTTATTTTCAAAAAATCAGCATAAATTTCACCGAAAAGACCCGAAATGGCGTTCAAAACGTATCTTGTAGCTTTTTAGGTTGTTTCGAGTAAAAATTTTTTTTTGAAAAATTTCAAGATTTTTCAATTTTTTTGCAGGTCCGGGGTCATGAATTTTTTCAAAAATCCCCAACTCCTTATTTTCAAAAAATCAGCATAAATTTCACCGAAACGACCCGAAATGGCGTTCAGAACGTATCAAGAGGCTTTTTAGGTTGTTTCGAATAAAAAAATATTTTGAAAATTTTCAAGATTTTTCAACTTTTTTGCAGGTCCGGGGTCATGAATTTTTTCAAAAATCACCAACTCCTTATTTTGAAAAAATCAGCATAAATTTCACCGAAACGACCCGAAATGGTGTTCAGAACGTATTTTGAGGCTTTTAAGGTTGTTTCGAGTAAAAAAAATTTTTTTAAAAATTTCAAGAATTTTCAACTTTTTTGAAGGTCCGGGGTCATGAATTTTTTCAAAAACCCTTATTTTCAAAAAATCAGCATAAATTTCACCGAAACGACCCGAAATGGCGTTCAGAACGTATCAAGAGGCTTTTTAGGTTGTTTCGAGTAAAGAAATATTTTGAAAATTTTCAAAATTTTTCAACTTTTTTGCAGGTCCGGGGTCATGAATTTTTTCAAAAATCACCAACTCCTTATTTTGAAAAAATCAGCATAAATTTCACCGAAACGACCCGAAATGGCGTGCAGAACGTATCTTGAGGCTTTTTAGGTTGTTTCGAGTAAAAAAAATTTTTTGAAAAATTTCAAGATTTTTCAACTTTTTTTGCAGGTCCGGGGTCATGAATTTTTTCAAAAACCACCAACTCCTTATTTTCAAAAAATCAGCATAAATTTCACCGAAACGACCCGAAATGGCGTTCAGAACGTTTTTTGAGGCTTTTTATTTTGTTTCTGGAAAAAAAATTTTTTTTTAAAAATTTCAAGAATTTTATAACCTTTTTGCAGGTCCGGGGTCATGAATTTTTTCAAAAACCACCAACTCCTTATTTTCAAAAAATCAGCATAAATTTCACCGAAAAGACCCGAAATGGCGTTCAAAACGTATCTTGTAGCTTTTTAGGTTGTTTCGAGTAAAAATTTTTTTTTGAAAAATTTCAAGATTTTTCAATTTTTTTGCAGGTCCGGGGTCATGAATTTTTTCAAAAATCCCCAACTCCTTATTTTCAAAAAATCAGCATAAATTTCACCGAAACGACCCGAAATGGCGTTCAGAACGTATCAAGAGGCTTTTTAGGTTGTTTCGAAAAAAAATATTTTGAAAATTTTCAAGATTTTTCAACTTTTTTGCAGGTCCGGGGTCATGAATTTTTTCAAAAATCACCAACTCCTTATTTTGAAAAAATCAGCATAAATTTCACCGAAACGACCCGAAATGGTGTTCAGAACGTATCTTGAGGCTTTTAAGGTTGTTTCGAGTAAAAAAAATTTTTTTAAAAATTTCAAGATTTTTCAACTTTTTTGAAGGTCCGGGGTCATGAATATTTTCAAAAACCACCAACTCCTTATTTTCAAAAAATCAGCATAAATTTCACCGAAAAGACCCGAAATGGCGTTCAAAACGTATCTTGCAGCTTTTTAGGTTGTTTCGAGTAAAAAAATTTTTTTGAAAAATTTCAAGATTTTTCAATTTTTTTGCAGGTCCGGGGTCATGAATTTTTTCAAAAATCACCAACTCCTTATTTTCAAAAAATCAGCATAAATTTCAGCGAAACGACCCGAAATGGCCTTCAGAACGTATCTTGCGGCTTTTTAGGTTGTTTCTAGTAAAAAAATTTTTTTTAAAAGTTTCAAGATTTTTCAACTTTCTTGCAGGTCCAGGGTCATGAATTTTTTCAAAAATCACCAACTCCTTATTTTCAAAAAATCAGCATAACTTTCACCGAAACGACCCGAGATGGCGTTCAAAACGTATCTTGAGGCTTTTTAGGCTGTTTCGACTAAAAAAAAATTTTCGAAAAATTTCAAGATTTTTCAACTTTTTTGCAGGTCCGGGATCATCAGTTTTTTCAAAAATCACCCATTCCTTATTTTCCTAAAATCAGCATAAATTTTACCGAAAAGACCCGAAATGGCGTTCAGAACGTATTTCGAGGCTTTTTAGGTTGTTTCGAGTAAAAAAATTTTTTTGAGAAATTTCAAGATTTTTCATTTTTTTTGCAGGTTCGGGGTCATGAATTTTTTCAAAAATCACCAACTCCTTATTTTCAAAAAATCAGCATAAATTTCACCGAAACGACCCAGAATGGCGTTCAGAACGTATCTTGAGGCTTTTTAGGTTGTTTCAAGTAAAAAGAATTTTTTAAAAAACTTCAAGATTTTTCAACTTTTTTGCAGGTCCGGGGTCATGAATTTTTCAAAAATCACCAACTCCTTATTTTCAAAAAATCAGCATAAATTTCACCGAAACAACCCGAAACGGCGTTCAGAACGTATCTTGAGGCTTTATAGGTTGTTTTGAGTAAAAAAAAATTTTTGAAAAATTTCAATATTTTTCAACTTTTTTGAAGGTCCGGGGTCATGAATTTTTTTCAAAAATCACCAACTCCTTTTTTTCCTAAAATCAGCATAAATTTCACCGAAAAGACCCGAAATGGCGTTCAGAATGTATCTTGAGGCTTTTTAGGTTGTTTCAAGTAAAAAGAATTTTTTTAAAAACTTCAAGATTTTTCAACTTTTTTGCAGGTCCAGGGTCATGAATTTTTTCAAAAATCACCAACTCCTTATTTTCAAAAAATCAGCATAACTTTCACCAAAACGACCGGAAATGGCGTTTAGAACGTATCTTGAGGCTTTTTAGGTTGTTTCGAGTAAAAAAAAATTTTTCAAAAGTTTCAAGATTTTTCAACTTTTTTGCAGGTCCGGGGTCATGAATTTTTCAAAAATCACCAACTCCTTATTTTCAAAAAATCAGCATAAATTTCACCGAAACAACCCGAAACGGCGTTCAGAACGTATCTTGAGGCTTTTTAGGTTGTTTTGAGTAAAAAAAAATTTTTTCAAAAGTTTCAAGATTTTTCAACTTTTTTGCAGGTCCAGGGTCATGAATTTTTTCAAAAATCACCAACTCCTTATTTTCAAAAAATCAGCATAAATTTCACCGAAACGACCCGAAATGGCGTTCAGAACGTATCTTGCGGCTTTTTAGGTTGTTTCGAGTGAAAAAATTTTTTTGAAAAATTTCAAGATTTTTCAACTTTTTTTGCAGGTCCGGGGTCATGAATTTTTTCAAAAACCACCAACTCCTTATTTTCAAAAAATCAGCATAAATTTCACTGAAAAGACCCGAAATGGCGTTCATAACGTATCTTGAAGCTTTTTAGGTTGTTTCGAATAAAAAAAATTTTTTGAAAAATTTCAAGATTTTTCAACTTTTTTGAAGATCCGGGGTCATGAATTTTTTCAAAAGTCACAAAGTCCTTATTTTCCAAAATCAGCATAAATTTCACCGAAAAGACCCGAAATGGCGTTCAGAACGTATCTTGCGGCTTTTTAGGTTGTTTCGAGTAAAAAAAATTTTTTGAAAAATTTCAAAGTTTTTCAACTTTTCTGCAGGTCCGGGGTCATGAATTTTTTCAAAAATCACAAAGTCCTTATTTTCCTAAAATCAGCATAAATTTCACCGAAAAGACCCGAAATGGCGTTCAGAACGTATCAAGAGGCTTTTTAGATTGTTTCGAGTAAAAAAATATTTTGAAAATTTTCAAGATTTTTCAATTTTTTTGCAGGTCCGGGGTCATGAATTTTTTCAAAAATCCCCAACTCCTTATTTTCAAAAAATCAGCATAAATTTCACCGAAACGACCCGAAATGGCGTTCAGAACGTATCAAGAGGCTTTTTAGGTTGTTTCGAGTAAAAAAATATTTTGAAAATTTTCAAGATTTTTCAACTTTTTTGCAGGTCTGGGGTCATGAATTTTTTCAAAAATCACCAACTCCTTATTTTGAAAAAATCAGCATAAATTTCACCGAAACGACCCGAAATGGTGTTCAGAACGTATCAAGAGGCTTTTTAGGTTGTTTCGAGTGAAAAAAATTTTTTTAAAATTTTCAAGATTTTTCAACTTTTTTGCAGGTCCGGGGTCATGAATTTTTTCAAAAATCACCAACTCCTTATTTTGAAAAAATCAGCATAAATTTCACCGAAACGACCCAAAATGGTGTTCAGAACGTATCTTGAGGCTTTTAAGGTTGTTTCGAGTAAAAAAAATTTTTTTAAAAATTTCAAGATTTTTCAACTTTTTTGAAGGTCCGGGGTCATGAATTTTTTCAAAAACCACCAACTCCTTATTTTCAAAAAATCAGCATAAATTTCACCGAAAATACCCGAAATGGCGTTCAAAACGTATCTTGCAGCTTTTTAGGTTGTTTCGAGTAAAAAAATTTTTTTTAAAAATTTCAAGATTTTTCAATTTTTTTGCAGGTCCGGGGTCATGAATTTTTTCAAAAATCACCAACTCCTTATTTTCAAAAAATCAGCATAAATTTCACCGAAACGACCCGAAATGGCGTTCAGAACGTATCAAGAGGCTTTTTAGGTTGTTTCAAGTAAAAAAATATTTTGAAAATTTTCAAGATTTTTCAACTTTTTTGCAGGTCCGGGGTCATGAATTTTTTCAAAAATCACCAACTCCTTATTTTGAAAAAATCAGCATAAATTTCACCGAAACGACCCAAAATGGCGTGCAGAACGTATCTTGAGGCTTTTTAGGTTGTTTCGAGTAAAGAAATATTTTGAAAATTTTCAAGATTTTTCAACTTTTTTGCAGGTCCGGGGTCATGAATTTTTTCAAAAATCACCAACTCCTTATTTTGAAAAAATCAGCATAAATTTCACCGAAACGACCCAAAATGGCGTGCAGAACGTATCTTGAGGCTTTTTAGGTTGTTTCGAGTAAAAAAAATTTTTTGAAAAATTTCAAGATTTTTCAATTTTTTTTGCAGGTCCGGGGTCATGAATTTTTTCAAAAACCACCAACTCCTTATTTTCAAAAAATCAGCATAAATTTCACCGAAACGACCCGAAATGGCGTTCAGAACGTATTTTGAGGCTTTTTATTTTGTTTCGAGTAAAAAAAATTTTTTGAAAAATTTCAAGATTTTTCAACTTTTTTGCAGGTCCGGGGTCATGAATTTTTTCAAAAATCACCAACTCCTTATTTTCAAAAAATCAGCATAAATTTCACCGAAGCGACCCGAAATGGCGTTCAGAACGTTTTTTGAGGCTTTTTATTTTGTTTCGGGAAAAAAAATTTTTTTTTAAAAATTTCAAGATTTTTCAACTTTTTTGCAGGTCCGGGGTCATGAATTTTTTCAAAAACCACCAACTCCTTATTTTCAAAAAATCAGCATAAATTTCACCGAAAATACCCGAAATGGCGTTCAAAACGTATCTTGCAGCTTTTTAGGTTGTTTCGAGTAAAAATTTTTTTTTGAAAAATTTCAAGATTTTTCAATTTTTTTGCAGGTCCGGGGTCATGAATTTTTTCAAAAATCCCCAACTCCTTATTTTCAAAAAATCAGCATAAATTTCACCGAAACGACCCGAAATGGCGTTCAGAACGTATCAAGAGGCTTTTTATTTTGTTTCTGGAAAAAAAATTTTTTTTTAAAAATTTCAAGATTTTTCAACTTTTTTGCAGGTCCGGGGTCATGAATTTTTTTAAAAATCACCAACTCCTTATTTTGAAAAAATCAGCATAAATTTCACCGAAACGACCAGAAATGGTGTTCAGAACGTATCTTGAGGCTTTTAAGGTTGTTTCGAGTAAAAAAATTTTTTTTAAAAATTTCAAGATTTTTCAACTTTTTTGAAGGTCCGGGGTCATGAATTTTTTCAAAAACCACCAACTCCTTATTTTCAAAAAATCAGCATAAATTTCACTGAAACGACCCGAAATGG